TCCTACAGTTATTTACACTTAAAAGTCTATGCAGAATAAAAACAGGGTTTATTTAGAGAGGGATTGTAATCACTGATTGATAATGATTCATTTACACTTCTTGTTATTTTAAAGACCTGCATTTGCTACCTAATCGGTTAAATCAAACTCTGCAGTTCTGTGAAGCTTTAAGTCTCTGTACCCTTTGTTCTTGGTTTTGCATATGGTCATACTGACCTCTCTTTATAAAACGCTATGTCTATCAAACAAGCTCAGACAAACTGAATGATAATCTATGTTAATCTAAGGCTTATAGCTACAGAAGAAACATAACCTTTTTATTTTCAAAGATGTTGGACTAAACCAGACCGAACAGAACTATCTCTAACAACCTGAAGACGGAGTGACAATATTTATGTGCAAATGTTTTTCTGGCTTTTTGCTCCCTAACAGCTGAACAAAACTTGAATGTAGATCTAAAGTCTTGACAATACACTTTCAATAGTTCTGATTGGATGAAACGGCAGAGAAAGCCTATGAAGGCTTATTGGTTGAAGTAACCTTCCATGTATTTATACTTGACTCACTGCATTCTTCAATGTTGCAGTCAGTTGCCTGATTAGCATTGCATACATGTAAAACCCTCAACAAGGTGCACGTCATTCAATGCATTTAGCAAAGCAGACTGATATAATGTGGAAAAAAGCAAAAGTTCTCGTGCAAATGTTTTTGAGGACAATAACTTCCAGACAAATATGGCAAACTCTATAAAACAAAGAAGCTCAGCCTCCCAGTGTGGCTAATAGGGTTTAGTAAATATTTCTCTTGTTTTAATATCAACTGTAATTCAATTTCAAACAGGTTTACCATCTTCCAATAGCATTGTGGTCCTGGGCTGCAATTTTATTTAATTTATTCCAATTAAATGTATCAAAAAGTAGTATTAGCACACGTTTTGAAAGCTGAGTTTCCTAACTTATTTTTTTTTAATGTATTCAAACAATACGTATTGCATCAAGGAACCCAATTCAGTTTCAGTGGATAGCAGAGAGAGTACTTCTTTCTTCATGCCTCTCTTCACATGCCTTTCTGCTGCACATTTTTATTTAATGGTGTTTATGTTTAAATAGCTGCACCAGACAGAAGCTGCTTGTCTCTAAAGTAATGTAAAGAACAAGGGATAGGTCAGATGAATTCCATCCACACAGAGGTCAGAGAGACAGAAAGTGAATAGCAATATGGATCCCCCAGCAGGCAGAGACGGACTAATAAGAGCATAACAGAAGAGGAGGAGGGGGCCCTTGGGAACCAGCATAAAGGTTTTCAGTACATTTTGAAAAGAAAGTGGTCTGAAAATATAATGATGCATGCTTTGAAATGCATCAGTAATCAGGAAAGGAATTTGTTAGAGGATATGAAGTAGGATTGAAATTCCCCAGCTGTGTTGAAGAACAGGGCTTGTAGGTGGAGGGTTAGGTTAGAAGGGCAAAAGGGGAGAATATAGAATAAAAAATGTGTATGCACCTGATGGAGGCTTTTCCTTCGTCTTCTGTGCTCTTTGTGCAGGTACACATGGTAAGAAATACAGGAGGAGGTCTGTTTCTGTGCACTGATTATTCTCTTACAGATTTTATAATCTCTTACAAGTACTGCTCAATATCAAGATAACTCATGAAATCCTCATCGAGGGCTATCTCTGACGGGCCACATTATTTTTCATATACGGTACACATGTGTTCAGACTCTCAAATCCAGGTAGACATGACCTAAATAGACTGAGTAACAGAAGAAAGAGCAGGTAGCTTTCTCTGCAGCTGAACTCACTGTTTGATTAGGTATAACACTCAGGTCAATAAGCAAACCTTCGTTTTTTTTTTGAAGAATTTTCTTGAAAGTATAAAAACTTTTTATTTTGAGTTGCATAGATAGCCAACATGACCTTGAACTATATCATGAAAGTTCTATTTTTGATGTATGCAATTTCATAAAACAGAGGCATGCTCTTATAAGAACATGTACTCAACACGAGGTAAAGAAATAAAGAGGAAAGAAATGTTCAGCAGATTGATTTAATGAAGTGGTATGTTTTTGTCTCAGCACACATCTGACTATTCAAACCTCCCTGTATATATTTCACAGTAATTGCCTTTCACTAAAAAGAGTTGTACTTTCCTACGATATCTAACCTAAGGTTTACAGAAAACTGACATTGAATGAGACTTGGTTGAGTGCACAGTACAATACAGTCCAAATGTGAATGAAATCTCAGTTGTAAAGTCTGATATTATATCACTCCATGATTGTCAAATGCATGGTTTTGTATAATGAAAGAAAAAAGTGGGAGCCATGTGGTGGCCAAGTGCAGTCTTTAGCAAATGTTTCGCCCCTGTGGATAAGGGGGAAATGTGTAGTCAGCAGTCTGGTGGCCCTAATGCTTTGATGTATACATTATGAGAAGTACCAGTGGAATTAAACCACAGGTTCAGTCAGTATTGAATGTCTTAAAAAATATAACCCCTCTTTATCAACTTAAATAAACATTTTCAATAATTCTTCATTTTTTTTTAAATGTCCTTATACGTAAGAATGTCCAATTATTGGTGGTGATGAATTTCTTCTTGTGCAAATTATGATGTAAATCTGTGACTCTTCTTGAGTACCTTTTTATTTGTTTTTAAATCAAAACACATCAAAAAAACAAGATCACAACATTTCATGCTTATGTTCTCCTACATAAAGAGCAGAGTTAGAATGAAGTCATGTATTTGAAGTTCCATGTGTCCTCCTGTATTGAAGTGTTGGCCTTGGGACACAGCCTTAGCTTTAAGGGTTCGTCTTCCCTACAGCTTTGTGGTATTCCTCCTATTCTTGTCAGGAGAGATGATTGGTCATTGAGGGTGTTTATATCTGTTTTCTAAATTTCAATCGTGAGTGTGAGTTTAATTGTAAAAAGGCCTGGTCTGTCCCTTCGCCTGAGTTATGGTTGTCAGGATGTAAAATTTGGATAGAAAAAGAGAACAGAGAAATGGAGGCAGAGCTACGGACCATTGTCCTGTAGCTGTGAACCAATGCTGCCACTCTCTAATGGGTCTGTGTGAAAAGGATTTGTTGGGAACTCAAACTGGTGGCCAACAGACAGATAGCTATTACCTAACAGCTCACCATTAAAAGGTTGACTGTGCCAGTGCCGGAATAGAAATGCTTCATAGCCGGTCCAATTTCATATAATTGCCAATGGCTGATTGTTTACTGAAGTGCACATTTCCAGTGTACGTTCATCATGGCTCCGCTAGATGCTTTATTATTTCCTTTATGTCATTTTACTGTGGAGCTATCATTTATAATTTACCAAACTACATCATCCTATCTGCGCTGGCTTGCCTTCAACTGGGCTCATCATCCCCCCAAAAAATGCCTTTCCCCTTTTGTGAATGGTTACCAATAATACATTTCAATTTCAGAGCATTCAATTATCCCAATTGTAGATTGAGAATTTCTGTCTCTCTGTATTTGTTTTTGCGGCACATTTGTGACAGCCCTGGTTTCCTGATGGCTGTCCCCACACTCTGGGCCTCGGTTTTGATGTGTGTTATCTCTGAGCTCCAACATTGCCCCCAGTCACCCTGTCAGCGCCTTTTGATGTTTCTCCTGTACAATTTGAGATAGAATTTCTAATGAGGAGTCATTATCATTTAGATTTCTGTCTGAATGGAGAGTGACCTCTGGCACTTAGCCTTGATTATCTGTTTGAGACCAGACCTTATTGAGGTCGTGATAATAAATGAAAGGTTATAGGTTTGGTGAGTGTGAAAGGAGATTTGTCTGAGTGGAATCAGGGCAAAATTAACATTGTGATGAGTTATGTAAACTTTAGTGCATATAAGGCTGGAAGTAACATGGTCATATAAGGCAGGAAGTAACATGGTCATATAAGGCAGGAAGTAACATGGTCATATAAGGCAGGAAGTAACATAGTCATATAAGGTCATAAAAGGCAGGAAGTAACATGGCCATATAAGGGCATATACGGACATATAAGGCAGGAAGTAACATCAAACAATTGTGCTCTGTCCATGCGTAGAGTGTGTCATTATCAATGCTTTCAATAAAAAGTGTTCATGAATTATATGAACTTCATATTGATTATTATAGTCATTACTGCTTAAGTCCAATGAGACTTCATATTATTTCTACTTTAAAAGCCTTCTTTGTTAATGCAATGCTTAACTTTCTGTAAGTTAATTGGTTAATTGGTTTATTTTGACAGGGTCTATGCACGACACAACTGCTGGGCCATATTTAGCCATGCACCTAATTTCTGTCATCCCTGGGCAGATGTCAATCTAGAAAATCAAAAAAATTCAAAAGAAACTTCCTCTGGGTCTTTCAAAATAAATTTACACTCAAAAGACTGTTTTGAAATTATAGTGTGTCCAATTTTTTGTACTTAATTGGTAAGAGATAAGAAAAGCAAATAAGGCATGTGTTAGCTACAAAATAGCTGGCTAAATTCAAATGGATGTCAGTTTTTTTTCAGTCTTATTACAAGGTGCTGGTGAGAAATTATGTCAGAACAAAACAAGCCTTTGGTCTTTTCTCTCATCTGTGAGTCAAGGGAGCACCTACACAACTTCAAGATGCTTTTATTGTAATTAGGTTCAAAAACCTTTTTTAAAGATCTTTCTGGGCCCTGCAATGACTACGACTCTCTCTCTGAGTGTCTTTCTTCACTGTAGGTTTTAAAAATCATCTGTGATTAGCATGCTAATGACTGGCACTGAAACCTGGGGAGATCAAGACAATTTAAGTACTTTCTGGGTGCCTGGAGATAACAAATAACCTTTAACAGATGAAATGTTCTGCTTCTATTGAGTAAACTCCAAATTTTCAGAGCAATTTGTGAAAATACTGAAAGTAATCTTTTCTTTTATGTTTTAGAGTCACACGTCTGCCTCCAGCTCATTGTACTTAATTATACTGAAGAGCCTGTGTTCTCATCTTTTCTTTTCTTTTTTTGTTAGGTTCCTAGTGGATCTGCATATTCCCTCCGCAGCTCTACTTGATGTTGCGGCTTGAGTTCTGAGTGGTTCATTTAGCAGGCCTGGTGCTTCTTTGTCACAGTGAGGAGAGATCAAAGAGGCTATTTAATGCTGAGGTCTAGAAACAACAAGAACACCCAGCTCAAGCAGTGTGCAGGGCCTGCTGTTGCATGCCTAAGGTAAGAAATAATGAATATAGTATAATAACCCCTTTAGAAAACGCCCTTTTGACATTGCACAGTGGGCGCAGGGCTTCGCCTAGCTCTCCTTAGGGAGCTTAAAATAAAGAGAAACACAGGTATGTATGCGGCCAGGTCGCAGAGCTGCTGAGTCCACAATGAACAAATAAAAAGTGTGGGTGTGATGCCTTGGCACAGGGCAGACATGGTGACTGGCTTCATAGAAGAAACAATGCTAAGTGTTCAGAGAGCCTGTTTGAAGTTACAGGGAGGGCCACCCTTAGCTGAAGACATCTGCCCCACAGTTCACAGTGAATAAATCTTATGAACTCATGAACACAGCATTGGCAAATGTGTGTTTGTCAATGTTTTATTCAAAACCTTTCTTTGTTTACTTCCTCTTATTTATTGTCTTGCATTTCTTCACAATTTTAGAAGTGAAAATACACTCATAAACATGCCAGACACTTGTAGGTTGTGATCCATTGTGCTAAAAACATTGGCTCAGTAGTTTTTTTGAGAAGCCCGACCATTCTCAGACGATAACCTGCAGTGTGCACACCAGCTCATCTCTCCATGCACTGCCCCAGGCCACAGGCTCCAGACAACCCCTGCCTCTTTACACTTCCCTCATCCACTTCGCTCCTGCACTCTGTTTTTATTTCTTCTGCCTCTCTCTTTTTTTTTTTTCCTTTTCTACATTGATTCAAATCAATTCAGTCTGTCTACTTATTCAGGATGTGTAGACAAGTGGTCTTATAATGCAAACACGTTTTCCAAAAGTAACTAGTACAGTTCATTAAATCAATAGGTCCTGATAAACAGTTTGGACATAAACAACTCAAACAACAAAAACATTTTGGACATTTCTAGAACATTACATACATGACTCAACTATGCTATAGCCCATAATACAATTTACATATCTACAATTAAAGTTTCACTTAAAGTTGGGCTGTCAGTGTTAACTAGTTAATCGCAATTAATTAAGTTATGAAAATAATGGATTTTAAAAAGAAATCGTGATTAATCACATGCTGGGTTGTTCTTTGAGGCACACTGTGGATAAGCCTTTGCGAATCTTACTCAAAGTGATGGAAAAGAAGGACACTGCTGCATCTTTGAACGTCGCATTTAAAAAAACTCTCCGACAGCTCAGTTGACGGGTCAAAAGTACGGTCCATCTTATGAAATCCAACATTTAACTTCTGTAACGTTCATTTTATGTTTTCATTTAGTTTTTTGATCGAGAACAAGTTCTCTTTTCCGTTAATGTTGTAACCTTCAATCTGAACGTTTCGAGCCGACGCTCTTCTTCAGCGTGTGAACAGCCATTTTTTCAAACATCCTCCATCGCAGTAGGAGTGCCCATCTTGAAGTATAAATTGATTACACCTGGGGATGTTTGAAAAAATTGCCTGTTCAAACACTGAAGAAGAGCGTCGGCTGGAAACGTTCGTGTGGCAATTAAAATACAAATATTTGGAGTGCTGTCCTTATCGTTTGTCTTGTCCAAATATTTTTCGGGATTCAGCACCCAGTTGTTTTCTGTTGAAAGGGAGTTGAGCGCGTTTTTTGTCTATAATGTAACCTTCAATCTGCCAGAAGTTCCTTAATTTATTTTAAAATAAAAGCAGTGCTGAATTAAAAAGCAAGTGAAGCACTCTCAGCTTATGACAGTGCAAAAAAATCAAAGTAAAAGCCAAACAATTTTTATTTTTAAATGTGAAATAGTGTAATTTCATTTCTCAAACATGTGATAAAAAATTATAATTAATCACAATGACCTATTGAAATTGAACAATGAATCGTGAAAATATGTAATCTCTTGACAGCCCTATTGCAAAGAACTGCTGATTTTTTATTTCCCTTTGTATACCACTTTTTTTGTGTACTTTCCACATGTCTTGTGTTGAAATGTTATCAATAAGTGTTCATGATTTGCTCTTCAGAATCTATCTTCAGATAAAAACACACCTTCCATGTTCAAAACAATCTCTAAACTTTTCACTTCTGCACAGCACTACTGTCAAGACTAGACTCCTGCACATTTTACATCCTGTTAAAATGTGCAGGGTGTAAACTTTAGAATTTCATGAGCTTTAAATTTCCCAAAAATGTACTTCTAGAAAAAATGTTATTGCGTTAGGAATTTATAAATAGTTTTGAGGTGTTTGTGCAATTGACTCAGCTATTTATCTTTCAATTTTGTAAAGGTAGAGTCCTTAATAATGCCCTTTCAACAAAAGATAATCTTAGTGTAGCCCTGTTTTCAAATGGTATAACGATTGTGATATCAATCCGATCTGTTTAACTTTTTAAACCATCCAGAAGTTTCTATGAAGCATCTTTAGACGGCTGAAGAATAATGTGGTTGTAGTGAGAGAAGATAAACAAGTGTCTCCTCTACAAGAGCCAAGAAGCTAAAGCCTGAAAGAAACATGAACTACACCTTGAAATTAAGTCATTTCCCTTGTCAATTTAGTTACCTGTAGTCTAAATGGGTTATGATTTCTGTGAAAAGAGGTGTGGGATGCAACAGCACATTATTTTCCTGAATTGATTTTTTTATAGTTTGTTTCCTGACGAATAAATAATGTATGCCTAAAGTGCTGTTATTACTTTTAGATGGTTTCTTCTGTATATTGACTGAAAAGTCATTTGCAGGTAAACAAGTAAAATGAAACAGCGGAAGCCAAGCCGTACACTAATTGGAGCACATCAGTGCTCTGATTAACAAGTATGTGTTGTGCACTAGTTTCCGCAATCCAAAATGATCATGTAAATACGTTTCTTAAACTCTTTACATGATCATTACTTCTCTACTAAGTCACACAGTTGTGTTATTACTGGCCAGAAATGTAATTGCTCTGGCTGAGCACTGGAGATCTTTGAAAGACTGCCTGTTTAATGGGTTTCTAATGATGGCTCGTGTTCAACTCAATGCCAATGGAAAGCAGAATAGCAGTCTGTCCTTCTAAAACAACCCCCAGCCTCAGGCTTCACAGAAGACCCACTATCTCTTGACATCTCCCCACAACTGGCAGCCGGCCTAAAGACCATGGCATTCAATTAGCTCTAATGAATTGTAATATTGTGCAATTTGAATCAGCTTCTAATTTTGCATAATTGCAGGATAATTTCTGAATGGGTTTGACTACAGCTACATATGTAACTGAAAGAAGGGCAAGAGTTCAACCAGAGAGGTATGCCTGTCTGTGAAAAGATCAGCCTTCTTTGCCTTTTTGATGAGTTTGTGTGGAGATTGTGCAGAAAAATGTACATATATGATGGGACAACTTTTTATTCTCTGCTTATTAAATTTGCAAGGTCAGGCACAATGGACAAGGCTGTTTAAGCTGCTGAGATAGTACATTGCCCAATTAGATGAGGTCTTTCCAGTGATAAGCTGCACTCTCTGTGTACTAAAGCACTGTGACCTTGAAATCATTGCAAAGATTAGTTTGAGCTGTCCTGGCTAACAGTGCTGCCTTTTGCTTTACAGGCTTTCCTGGTTAGCTACAGTCTGAGTAACATCCTGTCGGGTAGCTAAGAAGTGCACAAATGTATTCCAATTACAAGAACATTTCTGCCATGTCTTTGTTTATTTAGAAGTATATGAAACTGAATGGCATCTGTGAAGGAATCACAGTTTGGCTGTCTTTTTGCCACCCTCTTCTTACTCACTATGGTTGCAACGCATCGAAAAGGAGAGCCAAAGTCACACTACATTAGTTTGGTGGTGGCTGTTGCTGCAGAGAGCCATTACTCTTCCCTGACAATATCAAAGAGAGCAGCAGAGCCTCTCTCTCACCATGCACCACTCGCAGGAAATTGCCTCATACTTCAGTAGGCAGGAGGTGAAACGGCAGCGACACCCATGCATGTGTCACTTTCTGGGCTCAGGGCTTGGGTGGGAGTGGGCTATGGTGTCACACACAAATGTTGGCTGGGGAGCAGTACAGGAGCACTGCCCAGGGGAGGAGAGGCCAGGCAGTGCAACAGAAGCTGAGCTCTGGTTGTGTACAGTAATGGTGATTCTTGATGTTTGGAGGCTGTGGGGACTGGACTGTACTGACTGCTGCACTTTTGGACCCTGAATCATTGTTATGTGGGTTGGAGTGGATATTTTTAATAGCTATTCCAATTATTTTTTTTTATATTAAAAGAAAAATTGCAGGCATTCATATTTTACAGTCAGTGTCGCCACATTAGTTTAGCAATAGGACTACTCTTTTAATTAATGATGCAATATGTGTCTCACTTGCAATATGACACTCAACCCCTGCTATCACAGTAAATCCTCATTGACTACAAGCTGCATTTAATCACTTCCGCTCCATCTCTGGGAAGTTTCTTGCACCTTTGCAATGTAGCCTACAAAGTTCACTACGTCGTTTTATTTCCTCTACTTCCTTTGTTTGTTTAAACTCGTTCCAACGCCACCCCTTTATGAATAAGTTGTGCCGAAAATGCGAGTAGTCGAAGACGTTGGTGAAATATATCCAAAATGCTTTGTTGGATCCACCAAGCAAAATGTACAGGACTACCAGAGCACTGACAGCAGTGACTTAGGGCGCACTCACACTAGACAATCTGTTCCGTGCCTAAACACGCTTCCCCCCTAAAGTCCAGTTTGTTTGACTAGTGTGAGTGCTCACTTCCTTGGCTCAGGCACACTTGGAAGAGGTTTGCTTCATCGCGGTACAGTCCATTCACGAGCACAAGCACAGGTACATAACGTGGACAGCCTTCATTATGGAGAAATCCCCGAGTGTTATGGTGTTATTAAGCGCGCTTCATGATTAGTGTACACACGGTACGGGACAACTTTGCCTAGTGCGAGTGCTATCCGTATACGGGGTCATATCTGTCAGTATAAGATATCAGATAGCAGTAACGGAATGATCCCTACATTTATTTGATTTACCTGATTAGAATTGTACCAAATTAAAGATAACTTCATTATATGCTTTGAAATGAAAAAGCCACAAGTTAAA